TGGTAGTGTTGGCTGTTGTTGTGGTGGTGGTGGGGAAAACGATGATGGCGATAATGATGTTAATGCTGGTGGTGGTTGCGATATTGATGATGGTGGTAGATGGTGATCGTGGTGGGTGTGGTAATTATGGTGGTTGAGATACTGGTACTTGTGGTGGTTTTGGTGGTGGTGATTGTGGTGGTGGTGGTGCTGCTCTGCTGCTGCTGCTGCTGTTGCTGCTGTTGCTGTTGAGACTGGTGGTTTTAAAATTCGTTGGGGGTAAATTGTAATGAAATTAAAAAGGCAATAAAATTGAGGTAAAAGCGACAAATAACACTTTTTAGATCATCAATTTGGTCTATAACTTGACAGACCGAGACATCGTGAAATCCTGCGAGTTGATGAAATAAAAACAGACATGCATTTTCATTTCATTATAATTATTGATATGATCCGTATCTGACTAATTTCATTTTATAACTTTAATAATAATAATAATAATATATTTGTTTACTGTTTTCATTACTGTATAATGCAATCGTAACCTTTCATGCCATATACAATGAACATAAAATTTACTACAGAAAGAAATACCCTCCTCAAGCTGTTTGCTCGCTTTGGACGAACCCTTGTATCCCTCTAATCAGAACTTTATTTCTTTATTTAGAGTTAGAGGTTTATTTTTGAATGCCGCCCAATCGAATGATATATTATTATGCACTCAGCAGCATGGCTTGCCGACTCCCCCTAACAGTCATAATGGCTAAAGCAAAAAATGTGACCTATTTGTGTAACTAGTGCTACCAAACTCTTACTAAAACAAATCATATTATTATAAAGTAAAATTCATCCGAGACTGGCTCGAATCCCCATTTTTTAGCATTTGTAAATTTGGGCTGTTTGGAAAGTTTTCAAGATTCAACACCAACCTTGCTCGTCCTTATCTGAGTTGGACATTCAAACTAAAGGTCCCGCCTCTTGAAGAACCAGCACGTGCTGGAAGGCTCGCTGAAAACATATTACTTCATTATATTATTATACTATGATCAGTGACCGAACTATTTTGATTCATC